AATGATAATATTGTATTGAATGTTTCTCAGTTCTCATTGTATTGTAACACATGCCACCATAATAAACGATTTTTCCTACTAAGTACTTACTAATAGTGGTATTGGTTAGTGATGTACCAACGCAAGTGAGTTAAGGCTACATATGGAGGTTTCTATGCAAAATAGTAATTAAATTCCATAATTGCTCTACCTACCGCATAGAAAATGTTAAGACTTGTTTTTTAATACATTCTTTGTTCCTACAACTTGCGATAGCCAGTACATATTATGACGTCATATTATGACATCATCGACCTCTACTGCACAAATTCATAAGAGACATGAACGAAATCGCTTCGGCGCAAGGGCATACCTTACTTAGTTTTACAGAAACAAGGTATAAAAAGACGCAGGATATTCCAAGGGTTTAAGATATTGCTGCACAAATTTTGGCACTGCAATTGTTTAGTTACTATTCGTGCAGTTTTAAGTTTAAAAAGGGTAAAAATTCACAGTCCAGTGTAAGTTTCTTAAAATTTTTATCGATAGAGAAAGTGCATAGGATTTGTGCAGCAATTTTAATAATGTTAAGAATGTTCTCTTTGATATTATACATTGTTTATTTTAAATTAGATAGGATATGCCCTTGCACCGACGTGACTTTGTTGATATTAATTATCACATTGAATAGAAGAGAACAATGGTGTCATAATATAACGTCATAATTTGCACTTGCTTTCATGAACTGTGGGTACTAAGAATGTATAAGCAAATCAATTTGAACTTTCTCCTTACATAAAATATACAACTTATGAATTTTTATTAGCTCACTTGCATAGAAATATCCATGTCTAGCCTTAACTCACTTGCGAAAGTATGTCGTGTTAAATACTAGTTACAGGTATATCATACTTTGAATGGGGGGACCAGGGGCGCAGCCCCCGAAAGCTTCTGGATTTTTGTGTATTTTAAGAGTAAAACCAGGCAGAATAACAGTGGTTTAGTTGGTTTTTTACCAAAATGTGGCATTATAAATATTAGTCACATCATACTTTGAAATTTTTTGGGGGGCGTGCGCCCCCCACGCCCCCCCTTAAATCCGCCAGTGTTTGGAGTTAATCAAAATTAGTGCTTGTCTTAAAGTAAGCATCATTTTAACTTCTTAACTACGAACTATCACAGTTTTATCAGTGTTCTGATTTTTATATAAAAAATTTGGCTGTTACTCTATCTTGTCCTTTTGGTTGAATTATTTCCCTTTCTGTTACCATACTAACCATAGCTATTATGTACACAGAGGGGAACAGAGCTTGAACATCCATGTAAGGTTTGTAAGCGTCGGAGATTCATTTTAATGCGACTTTGAATAAAAGAAATAGGGGAAAATGCCTTTTCAAACAGTCAGAGAGAGAGAAAGAGAGAGAGAGAGATGTCACTGAGGGGTCAGAAAAATCTGACGTTTTTCCCGTCTGACTAAAGCCAGCTCCAACTATTTCACTTCGTAACGAAGTGAAGTAGTAGGGGCTGGCTTTAGTCAGACTGACGTTTTTCTCGTTTTTTTTTCTTTCTACGAAACTCGTCTTTCCGTTTTTCTCGCCCCCCCCCCCCCCCTCTGATAATTAAAATCAATGTTTTCCCATTATATTCCAGCTTAAATTTCAAAGTTAATTAACTTTTTTTACAGAACTGTAAAGCTTTTTTTTTTTTTTTAGAACTAATGCTTCTGTATTTATTATAAATATATTAATACATTTGCATGCAGATTTGTTTTACATCATAAGAAGGTTCCTAGTCCAATGACTGGTCGTAGTCTTCGCCCTTTCATTTCATTTGTAGACCAGTAAAAAGTTCCAAAGTCATGAACACTCGCATTAATACATGTGCTGTAATAGCTGCAGATCGATAGCTCTCCGAAAAAAAAATAGATATTGATTTGATAGATATTGATACTAAGTAAACCGGAGAGCTACAGTGCCACCCATTGAAAAAAAAAAACTGTATATTTATAGCGCACCATGCAAAAAGTGCGCTCCAATCTTGATTAATTTTCCATATTCTTACCTCAACTGCAAAAAAATGGAAGATTTCAAAAAATTACTCTCTCCTCTAAAAAGTTCTCTTGTAGTTGGCATGTGAACGAAGCATATTGGACTGAATTATCTTTGAAACCAAAATGGCAGTATAAATAAGCGAATTGTTCGATGATTGCAATATCAGGGCCAGGACTATTAACAATTATAAGAAATGTTTTGTTGTGGAAAGAGGCAAAGAATATGTTAGGAACACACGGTTAGTAATATTTTGAGATTACAGCTTTAAAAACATGGAGAAATAAATCGAGAACCGAGCGCATTTTTTTGTGCGCAATAAATATACAGTTTTTTCAATGGGTGGCACTGTAGCTCTCCGGTCTATCAATATTTTTTTTTCGGAGAGCTACAGATTTGCAGATAGTGTTGTAACTAAGTTGTTATAATTAAATAACGATGCAAAAATTTTACACTTTGCCATACGTACGCCTATATTTGCTACCATCATTTTTTTTTAATTTCACACTATGCTATATTGTCTTTTTGAGTTTTTTTCAAGGGGGGCGGGGTGGGGGGAGGTAAGTTTACAGTCTGAATAACATAACATCTATAACATATTTTGATGAACTATCACATGTATATTTATTCAAATATTTTTTGTCAGTCCTCACAGAGTTAAAACAAGTGTATCTAACTTGATAAATAAGAAAATTTGGGATAAACTTTAAAAAAAAATCTATATTTATAGGAAGGAATTATACTGTTACAAAAAATAAATAAAACCGAGGGAGTATGCAGAACTTTTACCGGAAGATCGCGCCAAAATAGCAAAATGCGCCACTGGAAATGAAAGTCACCTGTTTGTTTTTAAAACACTGTAGAAGTAAGTCTATGAACGTTAAGTCAGTAGCATCGGGAAATTCTGTCTATGAAGCTCTACAACTTTGGTAAAACTGTGTTTTCACAGCAGAAATCGGCGGAAAATATTTTTTTTAAATCTCCATTTCAACTATAGTGAGTTATTATTCAACAAGTACATTCCCAAGCTTTTGTCGACTCACAAGGGGGGGGGGGGGCGGTATTTTTGCAGAGAAATGTATACATGTATTTGTTTTTATATGAGTTAAACCTATATGGAGGAAAAAAATGAAAGATCATCTATATAATCCATATTCACAAGTAAAAAGAGTTGTAATTAAGAACAATTAACAATTTGACACTGTACTAAAACAATAATTTACTAGTAATCACTATATAAAGTGAACGGATGTTTGCAGTAAAATTCTCATTTTTATTGAACTCAGGAGGGGGGGGGGGTGGGGGTTAAATGTAGGATGGAATCAAAAGTTAGTGTGTATAGTTCTTTGCGATGGCCCGCTGACCTTCTTTTGAAACTTGTTCATAAACTGATGATATTTTATGTTCGAGTACATAACAGGTTTTGGGGAATTCTTAGGTTAAAATTGCTGAAATCTGCAGGCAATCTATTTTATTCTATAGTAATACTATAGTAAATAGAGGGGTCATTTGATGTCAAAAACAACTGGGCATTACACATGTACATCTAAACACGTGGCACCGTTCACGGTAGAGCTATCGCTCAGTGATCAGGAGGTCGTAAGTTCGAAACTCGGCAAACCTAAGTTAATATACATTGTTCCTTTGGCACGTGATGGGCACTTGTAGTGAATGTTGTGCATGGGTCCTTTGGATGAGACCTTAAAACCTGGGTCCCGAAAAGCGTTGGCATGATAAAGATCCCTTACTGCTCAATCACTCAATGGCCATTAGTGCCATGAAAAGGTCAAAGGTCGGTTTATTGGGACATCTATTTATGAGTGAAACATTAAAATTTTTCAATAAATCAATTCAATACATGTGACCTTTTCCCCAAAGAGCAAAGAACCAGGTATTTGAAGCCAAATATATTCTGGTATGAGTCTGATAACATCAAATTATTATTATCATCTGATAAAAATGAGATACTCTTTAGAGCAATATTTTTCCTCATCTCCCTTCGACGAATGTTTTATTAATGTCAATTTTTGTAACGTCATTTGTAATTCAGTGAGCAGCATGGTATTGAATTAAAATTTCATGTTTTGTTGAAATCGTAACAATTTTTAAGATATCCACTTTTCAAAATTCTGATTTTTGTTACCATGGCAACAATTTTTATTGAAATAAAAGTACTAAAATAAAGAACTGTGTACACGTAAGTGTTCTCTACATGTGTACTAATTTTTATTGAAATCAACGAAAAACTGTTAGAGGAAAAACGATTTCAAAACTGGTAACTACAATCATGCAACTGTAATGGCACAAGGCCTTACCATGCTTACGTATACCGGACATTATCTAATTGTGAAACCCTCTCTTTTAAATAAAATTCACCAGCATAACTTTTAACTAATTGACGATATGCTTTGTTTTAATAGTATCACTAAATCCTCTGTTGTGGGAGTATTATTTGTACTTTTTTATGTATTTTTGGGAAGTATAAAAGGAGAAAAACGAAAATTTTGGCAATTATGGGTCTTATTCGTTGCCATGGCAACCGCGACGTCATTTTACTCTACGTAATTGAATAGTTTAGAATTTAACCTTTCAGAAAATATGTAGGTTGCTTTATGTAAAAGTAATTAGAAAATGTCGAAATTTCTAATCGAAAGTTTTTAGTCAATTTTGCTGTAAAAACGCAAAATCTCTGGTAGTTAAAGGGTTAAATCAATATAAAGAAAAATTATGATAAATACATAATAAATAAAATAAATAAACTATGGAATGCCATGTACGACAGCCAAATAAATAGATTAAAAAAATAAACAAATAAATAAATAAATTAATAAATAAATAAATAAATAAATAAATAAATAAATAAATAAATAAATAAATAAATAAATAAATAAATGAATGAATGAATGAATTTCAAGTGGTATGAAAAAGATTGACATTTGTCAACTGGCTGCTAAGAACTAATTTCCTTGAATCTCCAAAACAATTTGATCGGGATCGGTGACCAAATATTTAAATATGGCGGCCGGTGGCATGGCGGTAAATTCAGGTAAAATTATTTTCTCTCTGAACCATTTATCTGTGTATAAATTGCATTTTTATATACTTGATGCGTTTCATAAAAGGCAACTGACAATTAGTTTATATCATGTATGGGTGCCAGTTTGTTTTAACAAATTTTATTTCTAGTTAGAATTTCCTCCAATGGAGAGTGAAATTTTGTTTTTCCAGTATCAAAACAAATTTCAAACGGCGACATAATTTATGTAAATAATGACGTTCATTATTAAAAGATGAGACGATAGCTTATGTTGAATTCATTTCTGATACCAGCTGCTCTTTTTATTTTCAAGGCTTGCACACATTAACTCATAAAAATATTTTATTATGTCTAATGAAAGGGAATAATGGAATATATCGCTGGAATGGTATGAGAAAAAAAAGCTGATAAATATACAAAAAATTTAAAATAATCAATTTGATATTATTCTAAAACCCATAATTCAAAGAAAAAATGTAACATCGGTTCAATTTCAACCACTTTCACTTTGTAACACAGTCACACATGCAAGATGTATTAATATAAAACATTAAATGTAAAGCTGCAATATAACCTATGACGTGGTCTGTTATTTTTTTTAATGTTATGAATAATTTACATAGAGTTTATAAGTTTTTTAGGCATTTATCACACATTTCATTTGTTTATAGATTGTTTTCAGTAGACCCCAATTAATGCGTTATTTCCCATTATTCTCCATATTAGGGGTCAATATGCACATATTCCTTCTAAATTCAACTAACTTAAACTTTTTATACTGGCAATTGTGTGATACGAAGCATTGTTTTTTCTGACAAAATATAAATTTGTTAGAGCCTCCTTTATTTTATAGATTTTATTCCATAAAGATTTGTCCCCAAATGTTTCTGCTACACCCTCTTATATTTGATAGGACAAAGAGGGAAAGTTACAAGGTTAACCCTCAAAATGGCGGCCAACAGAAACTAACTCTTATTAATTTGGGTCTACTAAAAACTATCTATTACCATAATCAAGGATAATGTTATGCTTGTATTTTCAAATTTTGACAACTATTGTAGAGGCCAGGTTATGGGGCCCATTCAAAGAACTGGAGCAGACCGTCCACACAGCCATACACAGAAAAATTCCAGATGCCATTCACGACCTAGAAATAGCTCTCAAGAAACATAAACCAGATTTCATCGCTTTGTTAAAAAACCCAGTACGTTTTACTTTTTGACTGACTTTTTTCTGAAAAAATTCTGTAAATAATTTATAAAGATTTTCTGTATACACATCTATTTTCTTTTTGTAGTTCAGGGGTGTGCAATTAAAATAAAATCAAGTACTAGCCCATGGGATGGTGGCAGCTTTAAAGTTACTAGCCCCAAGTAATAAGTAACTAGCCCAAATAATATAAGGGCAAACATTAATTAAAAATTAATGTTGAAAAGAAACTATAATTGTTGAAAAAGTTAGGGTACTAATGTCATTCTTTTTAAAATTAAAGTTTAATTCAAAGCTATAAGAAATACTTTAAAATATCAATAACTTCTGAGATTTATTGGTAAACTGAAATTAAAAAGGTATTATGTGTGATAATTTGTATCAATAAATTGATGAGAGGGGTATATACTTAACATTGAGATGAAAATGTAGGATAGCTTTGCATGATAGGTTCTTGGGAGTAATACATATAAAATGGATGCATTTTTCGTAAACTTGAGCCTTAGAAAGGTCAAATTCGTATATTGGGCGACCCCAGCGGTTCTGAGAAAAAAATATCGACCTATTATCCGAAAATTACGGTACTTGACTTCTGTACAAGGATTATATCATAAAGAATATCTTGAAATGTGACCATGAAATTCTTTTACAGCCCAAGAATGCCATGTACAGGACAGCGGTCCGAAACTCCACGAAGGAGGGGCTACCAGTCATGGGGGACCAGACAAAACAGACCTTCTCCCAGCAGTTTATAGAGGAAGCCCTGATACTCAGTGACCTGTTTGATATGAGTGAAATCGCAGCCGTAGAACTCCTAATGGCAGGTAAGATCACTAATATGTCATTTAGATTAAGAAGACCAGACTTCAGGGCCATAAAACTTAGACGAGCTCATTTTTTATCTCAGTCTCACTTTTCCACCATACATTCGATTCTTTATGTAAAAGTGAGACTGAGATCAAAAGTAAGCTCCTCCTAAGTTTTATGGCTCTGGAACCAGTTCGTGAGGACTGGATTATGGTGGATTTTAAGTTTATACTTAAGAGTATGTGTTTAAAATGTTGGGCTCATCTTTTGCTTTGTTTTAAAAATGAAGTGTAAGTGAAGGCGAGCTATAAAATGATATTTTTTTTTAGCAAAATCTCATTTGTGGAATGGAAAAAGAAATAGCTCTTTTGTAGAGATTATAAAAAGTTTAGTAGTGCCATATTTTAGCCATTGGTTAGGTGAAGGCAACCAAACAAATAAAGACAAATATATATACATTTCTAAACAGTCAATAAAAAGTAAATAGTATGAAGTTTGTATAAATAAGTGACAGAAGATACTGAAAATCTTTGACATAGGTGTAGGTAGTATGTACATTTAGTGTTAGAGATGTGTATGCACATTGCATTATTGTACAAGTAATGAACCGTGGCTTAGAAAACACGTGATATAGTTAAAACACCTGAATAGGTAAAATGGACTGTAATCACAGGTGACTTTTGCCCTTTGTACAGGTGAGAGACAGCAGGCTGAGTTCCCTGGGTTGACCAGAGGCCTGGTGGCGGTACTGTTGTACTATGACGGACAGAAAAGTCTGGTTAACTCCCTTCGTACCCTTCTCCAGTCAAGGGAGGGGAGAATGTGGACCATGGAGTTGACCCCTGACCTTTCCAGCATGGTGAACCAATACACAGATCAGCTGATTCAGAAAGATCGTCTTATTAACACCATACTAGGTAACCTGTGTATCAAAATTTTAACCTGATATTCCAGACGTTAGTGGGTTTGATATTGAATCACAATATTTCAGTATTAATGTATTTAAGTTATTCCAAGTCATCAGTAAGAATGTAGTCAAAACAAATTGTTCTTGCAGATCAATTAGACAATATGGACCTAACAAAAGAAATGGACAGACTACAAAGAGACAGGGCCATTGGTCCACCAAAACACAAGAAACAGGTTTGTGTTTTTCTCTGTATACCTGAAATTGAAATATCTTGATCCATCTTAATTCTGCTTGTAGCATTTGTGATGATCGGAGATTAATTACAGTGTTATCAATCCTTGACAATCATTTCAACTGCCAATGTGCATTTTTCCTTTTCTTGTTTTCCAGGTGTCTGACTTGTACAGAGAGATCCAGATCATCTTAGCTGACTGCCTCTTCTGTCTGGCCACACAACAGCCCCTGGAGAAAGATGACACCTTGAGGCTGATTCAGCACCTAAGGGCAGACAACTCTCTGGCTGCAGATGGCACCCTGGACCCTGTGAGTCTGTGTCTGTTAATGGCCCTCCTGTACTGTTTTGATGTCAGTCTGTTGGAACATGAAGATGGAAGAGGTTAGTCTTTGATAAGATTTGTATCACTTAATGAACCAAAGGTATTCATACTTTTAAATGTACTTTTTAAAAAAGATATGTACTCTATTGATCTGCAAAATTAAAAAAAAATCAATTTCTCTTTTTCCTACTAGATATGTAAAGCTTTCAGAAACAGTATCTATTTTCTGAAAAAAAAAAGAGATACATGTATCATTTTATGAATGAACAAAAAACCAGAAAATTTATTTACATAGGTCCTGCAACGTCTTCCAATGATGACCGACTCGACCTACATACCGGACATACACCAGGATCTCACGTCGACGCGAGCCTGGGCTAACCCCGGACTGAAGGGCGTGGTTCTACTAGCCTGGGGGGTGACCCTCAGACAACTCAATCAGTACCAGACCCCCACAGGTAAAATATCTAATCTTATTGAAGGTCACACAAAAATTTCACAGGTAAAATATCAAACAATAGGTATAATATCAAGTCTTATTAAAAGATGAACCCCTCCCCTTCCTAGGATCAGCTGTCCAAATAAATCTTCTTCCAACTTATTTGTATAAAAAGCTGGAAGAAGATTTATTTGGACAGCTGTGTGACTCAAGTCTCAATTTAAAAATTCCAGATTGATTTTGAAAAAGAGACAAAGAGCACTGCTAAGAATTGTTAGGACACCTGTGTTTTGATTTGGTTAATATAAGCATATAATTGATACATTTTAAATGGCATTTATCTTTGAGACTATGATCTAACTGTCATATACTGTAGGTTCTTTATTTTTAGCTCTACTGGTCAGAGACCAGAAGAGCTTATGCGATAGTAATGCGTCCGTCGTCCGTCCGTCTGTCTGTCTGTCCGTCTGTCTGTCTGTAAACAATTTTTCCAAATGCTACTCCTCCTACAGTTTTGGTCCGATTTCAATATAACTTGGCACACAAGTTGACTACACTAAGATACATAATTCTGTGCATCGGTTTTTGATTTCGATGAACGGTGTTGCCGTGGTTACTAAAAATAGAAATTTCTGTGAAATTCTTTCGAAATGCTACTCTTCCTACAGTTTTGGTCCGATTTCAATAGAACTTGGCACACAAGTAGACTATACTAAGATACATAATTCTGTGCATCGGTTTTTGATTTTGATAAACGCTGTTGCGGTGGTTACTAAAAATAGAAATTTCTGTGAAATTCTTTCAAAATGCTACTCCTCCTACAGTTTTGGTCCGATTTCAATATAATTTGGCACACAAGTCGACTACACTAAGATATATAATTCTGTGCAAAGGTTTTTGATTCGATGAACGCTGTTGCCGTGGTTACTAAAAATAGAAATTTCTGTGAAATTCTTTCAAAATGCAACTCCTCCTACAGATTTGATCCGATTTCAATATAAATTGGCACACAAGTTGACTACACTAAGATACATAATTCTGTGCATCAATTTTTTATTTCAATGAATGGTGATGCCATGGTAACTAAAAATAGAAGTTTCTGAGAAATTCTTTTAAAATGCTTCTCCTACAGTTTTGGTCCGATTACAATATAATTTGGCACACAAGTAGACTATACTAAGTTACATAATTCTGTGCATCGGTTTTTATTTTGATGAGTGGCAAGGATCATTTTTCTATTTATTGCTGTTTTAAAGTTTCAAGTCCCAACTGCTACTTTTCTCTTCCTTTGTTTCAAGTATAAACCAGTAGAGATACAGTCTCGACAGAGACTTCTGGTTCTGTTATTTTTGACAACAATACTAGTTATATTGACTAGGGGTGAAACGATACGCTTTCTTCACGGTTCAATACATATCGTAAAATTTGGTCTCGGTTTGGTCATTTTCGATACAATACATTTTCATAGAAGGAAACAAATTCAACTGTTGTTTTACATGTTTTATGCTTCCTTTTACTTAATCCAGTCAAATAATTTATGTGCAAAATGGGTAGAAGAAATCAATTTAATTGGTTTAACTGTTAAAAATTATTTTACAAACTGTAAGTCCACAAAAATTTACGTTTTTTAACTAATTATTCTGAGAATCATGTTTATACATTATGCCAAACCCAACTGAATGACAATCCCTACCGAAATAACGAATCGAACCGAAAATAGAGATTTTCAATTTGTACCGTGTATCGCAATAAGAAAAAATACCTCAGTGAATCATTTTACTCCTAATACAGTGTAAGTTTCACAGACTGGAAAGAAGGATTCATTGTCAATTTATTTATACAAGATATGAAGAAGAATTATGATCTACAAAAATGGGGATAACTTGTTCTGTGGCCAAACTACTTTTATCATCTGAGTTCAGTGATTCCTTTGTGTTTCAGGCAATATATGAGCTTTATCAAGGTGAAAATGATCTGGTTGAAGACTTGACCATCGTTAAAAAGGTGAGGTGTTTCTTAATAGCTGAAATAAATCAACAGATACAGAATTAATTCTCTCTTACTCCTTATTATCTGTTATACTGTTATACCCTTGTGTGTCTGTTTGTCTGACTGTCTGTCTGTGTGTCTGTCCGTAACAAATTTCAGTCACAGTTTTCTAAGCAACTACTCATCGCAGATGCTTGAAATTTTAACACAATCTTCTCTGATGCATGCCATATGGTGGGATACATTTTTGCTCAAATCTGATGTCAACTACCTGTTTATCCGTGCATCTGTTTGTTTTTATGCATAACAAATTTTGGTCACAATTTTCTCAGCAACTAATCGCAGATGCTTGAAATTTTAACGCAATCTTCTCTGAGGCATGCCATATGATGGGATTTATTTTTGTTTAAATCTGACATCAATTTCCTGTTTATATATGCGTCTTTCCGTTTTATACATAACAAATTTTGGTCAGAGTTTTCTCAGCAACTACTCATCGGAGATACTTCAAATTCTAGCACTTCCTTAGTTGAGGCATGCCATATGGTTGGATTTATTTTTATGTGAATCTGATGTCAACTTCTTATTTGTCTGTACATCTGCCTGTAACTGAACTTGTGTATATTAACATGATAGTGTATATTCACATCAGAGCGGGGTATTCCTAGTGAGTATTGGCTCACAGATTTCTTGTTTTAATTAATTTTTAAACAGATTGCTATGAATTACTTGAAAAATGTATGACTTGAGTTCGTAGTACCTGGTACATGTAGTATGGATCATATTCTGTGATGCAAGTCTGGATCCTATGTATAATGGAATTATATAAGAACTATATTATAGTGCTTCACATGTACAATGGAATACTACTGCAGATGTCCTTCAAATATTCAAAAAGAATGCCAGCAAGGGCTTGTAGGTCATTGCTACAAGTATTGATACATGTATTTTGAAATATGGTATCAAATTTTTTTTATAGACATATCGTGATTCTATGGAGAAGTTACAACTAATGACAGCTTGGGAACTAAGCCAGATATTTGGTCCCATTGACATGCTTATTCCTATTCATGAAGGTAAGAGATTGATTTAAAAAAATGATACCTTTCATTTCTACCCTAGGACTTAAGTTGTGCTGGATACTACTGGTAAAAATTTTACTGGCAGGAAGTTTATGTTGTGGGCCAGAAGTTGTTAAATTTAGATCCGTTGTTTACTTTTATCTTCAGAGCTTGCGTGTGGTTTACAGAACCAGAGACTACCAGATGGCACGACCCGAGATGTGGGAGCTCTCCTGGTGGAGTGGGTAAGATTATTATCATGTGGCTACTGTACCACAAAAAATATTGTGGTGTGTATTTATACAAAAGATCCTACAATAATCGATAGATGGAATTTTGAACCAATCAAAGGGAAACAGAAGTAAAAGCAGAGGTAATCTTGCACAAAATTTGAAAAGCTCAAGTCTATCAAGTATTCCTTTCTTCCTCATTTACACTTTGGTAAATGTATTTTGATTTACTTTTATTTTATGATTAATTTGTTTTTCTTAGACTTGTAAATTCTCTTGTGTTTACAGAACAATGTAGAATTTTTTAAGTATAGGTAAGACAGAAATCTGCTCAAAAGTGGAGGAGTGAACCTCTTTGATTAGAACTTCTCTTTTTCTGTACAGGTACAGAAACTGAAAGAGTATGTTCCATTCTGTGCCAACCAGGTGTTTGGGAAGGCTATGTTGGATGAGAAGAAGAATGACCCAGTGGTAGATGATTTCCTACAGAGGTGCCAGGATTCTCCTTTCAGTCGCAAACTTGACCTGTGGACTATGTTAGGTAATATTCTATAAATGTTTCTGATCAGGATCCGAAAATTGAAAAAAAATATTATAAAAGTAGTTCACAGGAGCCAGAGGCACAGTTTAGCCCTTCTTATTGAAGTTTTTCTGTTGTGTTTTTCATCATTGTTTTAGCAGTCTCCATAACCACTGAACCTATTTCAACCAAACTTGCTACAGAATGGGTGAAGGAGATCTAAGTACCTGTAATTCTAATCAACATTTTATTTCCATACATGTACTGGTAACAGTAACTTGATCCAAAGAGTCAAATCACATCGAGTTGACAGATGAGAATTATCAGATCAAATGAGATATGAAGCATTGAGTATAGTCTGATTATCTCTGACTTATTAAGAGATGTGATGTGGGTTTTAAAATCAAATTACTCTGATATATTAATTTTATACCCTTTCAAAAAGCAAAATATGAAAAGGAATAAAGATTAGATATTATGTAACTTTATCCATTAAAGAAGATGTATTTATTTTATACCCTTTTCAATTGGCAAAATATAATTACAGAAAAAAATGTGATAATTATATAATTTTTTCCATTAAAGAAAGTATTTTTTATGGAACTTTTTGATATTAGTAAATTTATATTAAATATTATAACAGTAACTTGATCCAGACAGTCATATCATGTAGGGCTGTCACGGTTCCAAAATTTTTCGGGTCGGGTCGGTTCTGAATTTTTTAGGTTCGGTTTTGGGTTTTTCGGTTCGGGTAGGTAATGGCATAAAAGCTCATGATTTGTATTATTTTCAACAACAAAGAGAAAATTTTCATTTAATCTTAGAAATAGAAACATTGTAACTAGTTTAAAGTAGTTTCCTGAGTAGAAAACAATTGTACTAAATTATTTAAATCACCTTATAATGGCAGTGAACTAACAAATCTCTCGTTTTTGACGCCATTTTTATGGTAAAACCTACTCTACTATACAAATGGGAAGTTGGGAACCGAACCGAATTTTGGAAAAATGGAAACCGTACCTGACCCGAATTAAATGTTCCGCGGTTCTGGGTCATTTCGGGTACCCCTGACAGCCCTAATATCATGTCAAGTTAACAGGTACAGATCACTTATTGTTTGATCTGATTATCTCTGCCTGTCAGTGAGACATGATACAACTTTTCAGATCAACTGTTATATAGATAAATTTATTATCTACCCCTCCAGGGATTAATCTAGGTTTTTGGGGAAACTACCCTTTCTGGAGAAATTGGGAAAATCAGCCGAGGTATGGGAACCACTTGAGCTAGTGCAGGGCAAGCCCTGCGTTGGGGCTAATTGAATTTCAGCATTTCTATGACCATTTAAAGTGTATGAAGTAGCAAATTAAAACCATATTTCTCATGTAATGAAAATTTTACTTTAAATTTTCCGTTTTTATGAAGGAAAAAAAAATATTTGAGGTTTTCATTATTGTAAGGGGAATATTTTACTCATCAAAAGGGGAAAATTAGATCTTCAGGGGAAATTTTCTCTAGGGGAAAAACACCCAATATCGGTAGTAAATACGCCCTAGATTAATCCCTGCCCTCTTAAGGCCCTCTACAATTAGCAAATGAAATATTAGAAATTTTCTAAATTTCTCTGAGTAATTTACATGTTTATCTTAAATCCATTAAACAAAGCATTTTTTCAAGGAACATTTTACTAAGCAAGAGAAAATGTCTCATATACTGTACTTTAAAATACGTCATCAGTTACAGAGTGTGGTGATATGCAGAAAACAACCGTGCAGTGATCCAAAAAGTTGGATCAGAATGTCACGTGATTGCGTAATTTAACAGCAAAATTAAATTATGCACAGTTACGTATAGAATAAAAGGTCTCAGTTTTCCTTTCTTAGGGAAGATTTGGAAAGAAAAACAAATATAAAGTTAGCTCATTTAAAAATTTTCTGAAGAGGCAATTTGTCAGAAAATTGAAAATAAAACTTCTGTTAAAGCTCTCTTATCTTTATATGTTAACTTATTGAAAAGTACGTACACTGCTTAACATTTCAGATGGTGCCAGAGGGAAGTTTATGAAATATCCTTTATTGCTGAAAGCCATTCATAAATATGTAAGTGTTTACATTTTAATCCAGTAAAATCTTGAATATTAAACAAATGCTGCAGCAACTCATAGAGAACAGCAGAACCAAGATTGGTCATATTGATATACAGCAAAACTCGGTTAGTACGAACACGGATATTGCGAATTTACGGATATAGCGAAGTCATCTTGGATCCCCCACTATATAGATTTAATGGATTTCTTATATGGTTATAACGAATTACGGATATAGCGAAGTGATTTTATCGGTCCCAGTGACTTCATTATAACCGAGTTTTGCTGTATATGGAAGCATCCTCATGGTAGTGTTGGTTCAGATTTGTTCAAATCATGACTCCTGTACTGTAGTAATTTGTTCACTGAAAATATCTTCTGTATTAAGTGATTAATGTCTTCATGTTTTAATCAAATTAACAGACTTGTGACACAGACGAGGATAAAGAATATCTACAAGAATCGGTAAGATATAAAACTTAAAAAAGAAATTACATTTAAGGACAGATTATACAAACAAAGGAATGGATATCTGAATTGGTATATATTTTTATTCTTCGTAATTGAAGATTTGGGGGTACATAATTTTTGCTCTGTCCTTCTGTCTGTCTGTCTGTCTGCAAAAACATTAACCTTGCCCTTAGCTTTTGAGTTGGTAGAACTATGGCTTTCATATTTCACATAATATAATCCCTATGTTGACCAAACTTGCATCTAATGATGCATACTACCGGGCTTGCTTCAGATGCTGAATCTGACCTACATTTTCCGGTTGAGTGAACAGGTTAAAGTTTTTGGTGCAGGTTTCATTTCCAAGTAACTATAAGCCCTATGTTTACCAAATTTGCATGGATGATACATCTAAGGATGGATACTACCGGGCTTGCTTCGGATGCTGAATCTGACCTACATTTTCCGGTTGAGTGAACAGGTTAAAGTTTTTAGTGCAGGTTTCATTTCCAAGTAACTATAAGCCCTATGTTGACCAAACTTGCATGGATGATTAGATACATCTAAGGATGCACACTACCGGGCTTGCTTCGGATGCTGAATCTGACCTACATTTTCCGGTTGAGTGAACAGGTTAAAGTTTTTGGTGCAGGTTTCATTTCCAAGTAACTATGAGCCTTATGTTGACAAAACTTGCTTGCATGATACATCTAAGGATGCATACTACCGGGCTTGCTTCAGATGCTGAATCTGACCTACATTTTCCAGTTGAGTGAACAGGTTAAAGTTTTCATCAAGAGTTGAAATCCCGTGGGGATCCGGGTTAGAATAGGTCCTCAGTACCCCCTTGCTTGTCGTAAAAGGCGACTAAATGGGGCGGTCCTTCGGATGAGACCGTATAAACCGAGGCCCCGTGTCACAGCAGGTGTGGCACGATAAAGATCCCTCCCTGCTCAATGGCCCTGAGTGCCGAGCATAGGCCCAAATTTGCAGCCCTTCACCGGCAATGGTGACGTCTCCATATCAGTGAAATATTCTGGAGAGGGACGTTAAACAGTAAACAATCAATCAATCAATCAAGAGTTGAAAATTCTCAAAGAATGAGTGCACTTAAGTACGTCATTTGGAACCTTTTCGGCTACCCATTTTAAGCTTAACATTACAATATATCACTAAATTAATCTATGATTAATGTGCAAGTATATGCTTTTGATATTTATTTCTAAATTTTTTTGTCAAACATATTTCTATAATTACAGAAAATGTAATTAAAAAGAACATGTAAAAGCCTTAAATTCCGGAAATTTGGACGGGACCACTTTCGAATATAAGGTATTCACAAATAGGCGGAGACATTTAAACCGCATGGTTATGGAATGTAAACATTAGCACATATGACTTTTTTCGCACTACAAATTGAATCGGAGAAGAGAGAAAGAGAGAGAAATCGTGTTGATTTTATGGAGCACAATTATTAAGGGGGGACCTATGTCCGAAAAGTCTTTGTGTGAAATTTTCAAAACTTTGACATTTCTTCCCTGACCACTTGCTTTTAATTTTTAGGTATTGAAAACAATACCTTTATGTGCTTATTTTTACACAGGAGCACGTGCAAAAACAATGTGAAATGCTAAAAATAGATTAATTTCAGACATTCTTGTTTTACTCCAAATATGCGCTAAAAAGAACCAAAAATGTCAAATCACAGTCGAAATCAACATGTATTTAATTTATATGACTTGTATCTTTAAAATGAAGGCAAATTCATCGTAATTCATCTTGCATGAAAAATTATAAAAGAGCACAATGTAAGTATCACCCCGTTTTTCTTGTCGCATTTTTTACAATTCAGACATGCATAACAGGTAATATCTTAAAAAGTCTTTGTGTGAAATTGTTGTAATTAATATTTTTTGAAAGAAGTCACCCCTCTCTTTAATTTAACAAAGAAAAAAGTATACCTTTATGATATAATAAACGAGAAATATGACGTTTTATTTTATTTTCGTTCTCTTCTGTCATAAACATTGACCTTTCTGCACTAAAAAAAGGTAAGTTAGCACTGACAAACATCTGAATATAAATCTATTTTGCAAAAAACGAGTATTTTGTTTTGATAAGAAATAATTTAAACAGATAAACTCTTTTCTCCTTCATTCTAATCATTCTGCCCCCCCCTTTCCCCGTCAACAACCAACACCTAATAGAACCTAGGATTGACATAATACAATAAAATCTACATACACTATAAATCAATAAACTATAGGTACAAGTACATTTCTTAATTTTTTTTAGTTTTATCCAGAAAATACAATTAACGGTAATCATAAAATTAAACATATTTCCCTGATTAATATAAAGCCGCTGTCTTTGCTGAAATCTATCTTATAATTTTTGCATTTTTATATCAGCATATCATGGAGATATTTCTTCACAACTGAAATTGCTATGAATTATCAACCAAAGGAAGAGAATTCTAATATTAACAAACTCCATAAATCAAATAAAAATGTTATAATGAAAAAAAAATTCCTTTTGTAAACTGTGTACGTTATTGATTAATAACAATGTTATGTCTATAATCACAGTTGCAAAAGTCAGCGGGAAAAAACAAACGTCGCTATTGTGACGTCACATAACGCTGCTTTGACGTAGAACGACATAGGTCCCCCCTTAAATGATTCTAATGTTAAGGGATGGGATAGATATCTCGCTCGGCAGACCGTTATACAAAGGCGACGTAAGCCTATACATGTACTTACTTATGACACTGTCAATACCAGAATTCTTTCAAAACACCCCTAATGAAAAGCATAATGTTACATGTAAATAAGAGACACATTATATTCAAACCCTATTAAAATTTGCGCAAAAAACTACCATAGTTTGAAGTTGGAAGTACGAAAGATAATGTCACAACAGAGACAAACACAATGAAATTTTCAATGAAAGCGTTAGCGTATCGAACAGTAGAAGGTCACGTGAGAAAGGTGATTATAATATCAATCGTTGTTGCTCAGTGACCGGATAATTTACTAGCAATCTCGACCCTAGTTTGGGGACATTTTTTTGAAAATTAGATATGAGCCGCAACTTGGCCAACATTGTCCTTTGGATATGTATAAGTTCAAGTTAAAATACATATTCTGTGCAAATAAGAAAAATGGCCAAGTTGCGGCTCGATGTAAACAAAGTCGTTGAAAACTGGTATGCATACGAATAACAATAGAAATGAGACAAAACTGTTAGACACCCGTCTCAAAAGCTAGTTTCGCTCTGCATTATTTGATACTTTCATGTAATATAATATACCAAAACCTGCTCTTAAGATATTGTTTAATACCTATAAAACATAAATTGAATGAATTTTGGAATTTTATTTTGCGCAAAACATCGGGATCCAACTCTCATAGCTTAAGTGCACTCATTCTTTGCTTCAGATGCTGGATTTTGATTACATTTTCATGAAGAAGAACTAGTTTAAATTTTTTATGTTGGTCTATTTCAAAGTATCAGATCAAAATTGCTTACCGGGTAAATATTTTCATTTTTGGAATGTACACTTTTTGCTGGTTAATTGTTTGACTTTGCCTTACTTATAGACAACATTCGTTGAGGTGAGCTCTGTAATCTCTGATTACCTATGTTTTAACCTGGTTTTGATATAACTTGGCACACAGGTAAACTACACTAAGATACATAATTCTGTGTATCAATTTCTGATTTCGATGAACTGTGTTTCCATGGTTACTAAAAATAGAAATTTTTTTGAAATATTTTCAAAATGCTACTCTTTCTATAGTTTTGGTCAGATTTCAATATAACTTGGCACACAGGTAGACTACACATACATAATTTCGTATATTGTTTTTTTTTATTTTGATGAATTATGTTACCATGGTAATGAAAATTAAAAAATCTTTAAAATTTTATGAATAGCTTCTCCAAGAGTTGTAGTCTTATTGTAATATTGCCACAAAAATTGACTTAATCAAGGATCGTTATTCTATTTGATGTTGTTTTAAAGTTTCACGTCCCAACTGCTACTAATTTCTCTTCCTTTTATTTTTCTGACATATACCAGTCAGGGGTGGTACTGAAATCAGTCATTTTTGAAAATGATGGATAATGGTCATTTTTTCTAAGTATATAATGTACACAATTTTCTGATTTTTAGGTCACCTGAGTAAACTCAGGTGACCTATTGCTATCTGTTTTCGTCCGTCGTCGTGCGTCATCCGTTAACATTTGAACATTTTCAGCTTCTTCTCTGCAACCACTGAACCAATTTCAACCAAATTTGGCACAAAGCATCTATGGGTGAAGGGGAACAAAAATTGTGAATTTCATGGTCCCTGCCCCCCTGGGGCCTGGGGGGTGGGGCAAAAACTACTAAAATTAATGCAATCTTTAAAAATCTTCTTCTTTACTCCTGGACATCAAGCAGTTAAACTGTTTGCATGATTGTAATCAGCATTGAGTCCTCTACCAAAATTGTGAAATTTATGGCCCCGGGGTCAGGGGTTCTAGTGCTAGGGTGGGGCTAAATAAGTATATAGTGAAAATGTATTATTTCTTTGAAAATCTTCTTCTCTGCTCCTGGGTATTAAATAAACTAACTAAGTGCAAAGTTATGATGAGCAAGAGAGCCACTACCAAAATTGTGAATTTTATGGCCCCAGGGTCAGGGGTTCTAGTGTTAAGGCTGGGCTCTATAGATCATATACAAGTGAAAATGCATTATTTCTTTGAAAATCTTCTTCTCTGCTCCTGGGTATTAAATAAACTAACTAAGTGCAAAGTTATGATGAGCAAGAGTGCCTCTACCAAAATTGTGAATTTTATGGCCCCGGGGTCAGGGGTTCTAGTGTTAGGGCGGGGCTCTATAGATCATATAGTGAAAATTCATGAATTCTTTGAAAATCTTCTTCTCTGCTCCTGAGTATTAAATAAACTAACTAAGTGCATAGTTATGATGAGCAAGAGTGCCTCTACCAAAAATGTGAAATTTATGGCCCCGGGGTCAGGGGTTCTAGTGTTAGGGTGGGGGGCTCATATAAATTATAAAGTGAAAATGCATTATTTCTTTGAAAATCTTCTTCTCTGCTCCTGGGTATTAAATAAACTAACTAAGTGCATAGTTATGATGAGCAAGAGTACCTCTACCAAAATTGTGAATTTTATGGCCCCAGGGTCAGGGGTTCTAGTGTTAGGGCGGGGCTCTAAAGATTATATAGTGAAAATTCATGAATTCTTTGAAAATCTTCTTCTCTGCTCCTGAGTATTAAATAAACTAACTAAGTGCATAGTTATGATGAGCAAGAGTGCCTCTACCAAATTGTGAAATTTATGGCCCCTGGGTATTGGGTTCTAGTGCTTGGGGGGGGGGGGGCAACTAAGTATATAGTGAAAATGCATTATTTCTTTGAAAATCTTCTTCTCTGCTCCTGGGTATTAAATAAACTAACTAAGTGCAAAGTTATGATGAGCAAGAGGGCCTCTACCAAAATTGTGAATTTTATGGCCCCGGGGTCAGGGGTTCTAGTGTTAGGGCGGGGCTCTCTAGATTATATAGTGAAAATTCATGAATTCTTTGAAAATCTTCTTCTCTGCTCCTGGGTGTTAAATAAACTAACTAAGTGCATAGTTATGATGAGCAAGAGTGCCTCTACCAAAATTGTGAAATTTATGGCCCTGGTAACAGGGGTTCTAGTGCTAGGGTGGGGCTAAATAAGAATATAGTGAAAATGCATTATTTCTTTGAAAATCTTCTTCTCTGCTCCTGGGTGTTAAATAAACTAACTAAGTGCATGGTTATGATGTGCAAGAGTGCCTCTACCAAAAATGTGAAATTTATGGTCCCAGGGTCAGGGGTTCGAGTGTTAAGGTGGGGCTCTATTGATCATATAATGGAAATACATGTACATGAATTCTTCGAAAAAATTTCTTTTCTGCTCCTAGGAATTAAATGAACTAAGTACATAGTTATGATGAGCAAGAATACCTCTTCCAAAATTTTGATTTTATGGCCCTGGGGTCAGGGGTTCTAGTGATAGGGTGGGGCTTTATTGATTATATAGTGAAAATACATTAAATCTTTGAAAATTTTCTTCTCTGCTCTTGAGTATTAAGCAGATGAACTACCTATGTAGTTATGATGAGCAAGCACCCTGATCTTCTAGAATTGTGAATTTCAAGGCCACAGGGTCAGGGGTACCATAGGGGGGATGTACTTATATACTGAAACTGGATGAATTGTTTGAGAAGCAAGGGTGCCTTTTCAAAAATTGTGCAATGAGTGGATCTAGGCCTAAGGGTCAGGGGTTCATGTGTGAAAGGGGCATAACTGATTATTGCTGAATATTACTGATTACTTGAAATGCATTTTTTGCTCCCCCACCCTGCCTATGGGTATTAAGTAAACAAACCAAGTTGCTGTCCTTTAAAAAAGGACTGCAATACGTGGACCGTATGCCTGTTTTTTCTAACTGAAATTCAATGAAGAAAATTTCTAGGTGTTAGGAATATTCATGTTAGGTTTGTTCACTAATTCTAAAATTGTCTGCCACTTATAACTAATCGTAGTCTCAAAGCGCAAATGTGAAATTTTATCTCCGATTAGCGCTCTTTATTTTTGTCAGTTTTAACATGTTTTGAAAATCGGGTTATTTTGACAATTGTAACACATACTGGCTGGGACTTGACACCTGTTCTGGATTTATACGGAAGAAATATATCATGGGAATAATGGTGATCTGATGGTTCACGTGTAGCACACCTCTGTACAACGCAGAATTGCTTTTTATTTTGTCGAAGCCCTCAACCCCACCCCCAAACACACACACACACACACACACACATTAAAAGCCCTTGCTACATACCTTTATCAAACAATAATTAGATTGCTGAAATATTAAATGATTTTGTGAATCTTGATGCACAAAACTAATGACGGTGAAAACTTGCTCTAAAAGCTACATGTATCTCTGTTCGTTGAGTGACGTTTCTCATTCAAGTTGTTAAGATACATGTAATATATACTATAACTTCTAAAATGTTTGTACCATAGAATCAATGTTTAGTGTAAAAGTTTATGTAAAAGAGAGGAAATCGGATCTACCAATGAATATGTAAATGCGATGTGCAGATTTAAAAGCGCGATTTGCCAATTGCAATGAACGGCATATTTTAATTTGAATAGGGCGAATTATTCTACGGGCAAGCTACCTAAGGTGCGAACTCTCTCAATCGGCAATCCTCAGCTGACTCCGCTCCGCTCCATTCATTATGTGCGAGGTACCACTCTCTACCATCGGCTCATACATTCACCTCTGTCGTTGGCTCGCGTATACACAGTGTTAAACACGAGAAATAGTGCGTTTGTTTTAATTCATTACAAATCATTTTCTATGCTTATGTCTGAGCTTTGAGATAGATATTTACTAAATCAATCTAGAACTATTGATTTGAATTGAAACAATTCTTCAAATATCAAGTTTTATACGTTATGTCAAAAATCTTGACGTGAGCCCATTGCAGAGGTGTCTGAGAGAGGAACGAATGACAACTCTGCATGGGAGATTGGCGAGGTACAAGTCATCCGAGGAACTCCGAGTGGAACTCTCTAGCATTCTCGCGCATGCGTAGCCTGTCGTTTGCCCAGGGCATCCGGTTCAACTTCGCTTAACTGATAAGTGTATTGTTATGATGATCAAATGGTGCTTCTTTCAAGATTGTGAATGCCATAGCATCTTGCTTAAAACATTAATCAAATTAAATCGCTGGAAAGTTGTTGCATAATGCTCAGGTGACCTATAAGGCCCATGGGCCTCTTGTTGTAAATATGACGTCTTTTCATCATATTTCCATTCTCAAGTCAATTTTCCCATCCCATTTACTACAGTAATTAGATATAGTACACTATCCTGCCATAGACCCTTGTGTAGAGAAACATCTTGACAAGTAATTGAAACCAAATTAATTTAGTGCGCCCTGTAAAACTAATGAGATAATTAAGTGCGCCCAGACCTAACAATTTGATAAAAAATGATGAAAAACAGTCATTTTTAATATCAGAGATAACTCTATTTCTAAAATAAATTTCAAAATAGAAATGACTGTTTTTCATCATTTTACTAAAAAATGATGAATTTCCATCATTATTAAAAATCAATTTAATGACTGAAAATCATCATTTTTAAAAATGATGGATTTCAATCACACCCCTGACTGTATACTGTAGGTTCTTTATTTTTCGCGAGAACTTTTTATCGCGAATGGACTCTTCAACAGCAAATCGCAAGAATGTGAATACGCGAATGGACGTTGGATCAATACTTTTAACATAGATTTTTACATAGATATAAAGGCGAGTAATTAAATTTCACATATGGTGCTTCTGGCGAAATTACGTGATAATTAATTCCATGCATATATTTAGGAATCTACAGTATTGTGAATCAATTTAATATGGCAAGATAGTCGTAAGTGCTTTAAGATATGCAGAAAATGAAAACTTATTTTGGACTTTACTGATATCTAAGATGACCCACTCCTGATTCATATTCCTTGATTTCTAGGAGTGAACGGAATTTGTGAAGAGGATGAGGTTGTCATTAACGAGGCCCTGGAAGCTAACGTGTTCCACTTCCTGCGACTGGCTGTTGTAGCCGTACATGATTTCCATAAAGAGGTAGGGCATTTGGTGTATATTCAGAGATTTCATCAAAATTTACACATTTTAATTTTAGCAATGAATCAAAAAAGATGTTTGACAAATCATTATTTTGACTCTTCAGAATGGATTCTTAATAACAGGGTTAGAAGTATAGTGTATTATTCATGTTATGATAAACCAGCATACTTTTTTGTTTTGTAGGAATATTATCTAAAGAAAGTCCACGGGCTGGTTACAGACTTCATTTTTCATATGCCACTAAAGGTACTTGTTTGACACCAAAATGAATTGTTTATGCATTTAATCACAAAAAGATGCCATTTTTGCATGGCTATTTTTATCTGAAATAAAAATATTACAATATTTCAGAAATGAAGCAATAAAAATAAAGCATATGTATAATTTATCAATTATGGGCTGATGGTCGGTGGAAAAATGTTCTTTGTAAATTTTGAAATGAATATTGATAAAAATAAAATATTTCAGAAAAATAGTCCTCTTGTAAAAAAAAAAAAAGAAAGAAATTTGTTAAAACTTTTTATGAAGTGATAGAACTATACATTGTTTAAAAGTTTGTGCAAGAAATTTTATTCTGTATGATTGACAGGTGAAAGAGCTGCGTACAAGAGGAGATGAAGCGGCGAGAATCGCGGCGTCCCAGAGTTCCCTAGAACCTCCCACGTCACCCAGTCATGGCTTCCAGTACTTACTGAGACTGGTACATAATAGTCACAAGTGTTTAATACTTGTGTCAACATTATTAAGGTTTACTGACCCTTTTACAAGAGAGATAACCCATGCTTAGGTGTATAATAATTGTTTCTACAAGAAATACTGTATGCAGGGATATTTTCACCCCCGTGAAATTTTCGCCCCTTTTCACCTGCAAACAATTTTGCCCTGTTTTAATTTTGCCCAGCCACAGTTTTATCTAAGAAATTATACTGTGTTCTTTTAATTTGCCCCGTTTTAAATTGGGCAAAAGTGGCAAAAAAGGGGCCGAAAATTTCTCTGTATACAGTAGATTATGAGGCAATTCCTTTGAAATTTAAATTCAAAATTGATTAATCTGTTAATATAAAAATTTTATCTTAGATTTCTTGTGGAAATCATCTTGAAGCCATTATCTATATAAATGATCTGTGTTGTGATAATGACATAAAATCCTACCATGTATTTTCAGATTGGAGATTTATACAGGACTGACCCCCTGGGTCTGAGGCTGTCTGTAGAGTACTGTTTAGAGCTGTTGAAACAGGACTTAGCGGGAGAGAACTCTTTGACTTGCTTGTTGTTGGGACTACTGAAGACTTGTCTGTCAAAAGACTGGTAAGGGACACCACTCTGTATGAAGACTGTATTAGAAATAAGGAGAGGAATTTCAAAGCTGCTATTCTGCCAGAACTTATTGGAAAACTGAATTCCAGGAGAAAATTTTGACTGCTGCATCACCAGCAAATAAAATTGGGCAGGATAACCGCTGAATTACCAAAGTTTGTGCTGTAATGGAGAAAAAGAGCCCAAAGGAGACGCTGTCGTCGTCTGCTAGGCGGCCTGATGAGCTCTTACAGAGCGAAACAGTGTTCCATAAAATATCTACATTTGCAGCTGAACGCCTGAAGAGGGGCGGGCAGGACTTTAGGGAGTTATGCTATAAAAGTTCATTGTAAAAGTTATTTAGATTCTTCGGATATCGCTCAGAAATGAAAGTTTTACACACAAACAGAATGTAAATGTTTATGACATAGACTTTGACCTTTTGACCTCAAAATCAATAGGGTCTTCTTTCAGTCTTGGGAAGTTGGGATGTAAAATTTCATTGTGAAAGCTTAAAATCTGTTTGAGATATCGCATGGAATTGAAAGTATTACAGACAGACGGTCATACAGAATGGACCCAAATTAATTTCCTCCATATTCAGTGAAAACCGAGGGGTGGGGGACAAAAACTGGGATTGTTTTCTGTTTATAGGCTTGTGAAGCAGACAAATATATAACATACTAACATACTTACGATGTCTTTAATATTCAAGAGTTATTCCCCTTGTCACAGCCTTTCATCAAAATTTATGTTTGAAAATAGTCATGTATAATTTAGATATAATATTCTCTTTAATTTCAAAAGATGTTTAAATTGATCTATATAGATCAAAATAAAAAATGTACCAGTTCTTGAAACCAAAATTTTGGAACTTGAATGGATATATTGGCACCCAATCAGTGTACAATTGTATACACTATTGAAAAGAGACAATATGATGATCCTGTCAGTTTTTTTTTTTCATTTTCAACGGGAATGTTATAATATTAGGTATACAATACAAATTTGGCCCCAGAGTAATAAGAAGGACAATTTAATGCTTATTAAATACGATCAGTTTTCAAAAAATTCATCACTGTTTATCACATTTCTAGTCAACTCCTTTCTGCACTAATAATGTTCACATATATATTAAAGCTGTACACGACTCATAAATTAAGACATATGCCATTGTCGATTTTACTATCCATGGAAGATATCAACACCAGGGTATACTCTATGCATTTACTACACCTGACTGCTTTATTGTCACACCTGACTGTGTTATTGTCACGGGTATCGGCGTGGAATGGCGACCCCTGTTCCTCCTGGTTATCTTGCATTACCTTTGTTAACATTTTATTGCAATTACGTATATTTGTGTTTGTTTGTATGTACTGCACTGACCTGTACAACTGTTTGTAAGTCTCTTTGGTTTTTACTCACCTGCATTAGAAAAAGTACACAGTTAAAGATATTTTCTGTCGCTACGAGTGCTGTATAGCATGTACCAGTGATAATTGATTACACTGAACGGTGACGAAGTGAGCTGCTCATTATAAAGGGGTCCTCAGATATATAGGGAGTCCTATCGAATATGGCAGACACATTCCTTTTACCACTGTATTTGTGTTTGTTTGTATCTACTGAACTAACCTGTACAACTGTTTGTAAGTCTCTTGCTGGTTTATGTGATCTTATTTGAATTTCAAAAAGTACACTTTTGTGGCACCCCAATCATATTTCTTGCTTTCAAAGACTTACTAACTTATGTTGTCATTAAAAGCAATATACAGTGATAATTGATTTTTTTCACTTTGAATGGTGACGAAGTGAGCTGCTCATTAAAAATAACATCGAAGATATACAAAGGAGAATTTTCTCTTATTTATGCAGACAACATTTTGCGTTTATTCCAAATTAATTACCTATTACTGCTTGTTTTAAAGTATAAACAACAAGTACTTATTGTTTTTATATCAACGTCCCTTGATTTCACATTGTCATGCTTTCAATCTGTCAAAATGTATGTCACTACGCTGTCTAAACCCTGCTCCCGCCAAATTACGACTTTCTCTACTTTCGATTTCAGCGGAAGTAAAACAATTAGTCATTGTACGATCTTTCAATTGAATTTCATTTAAGTGTTATCTTTTGCTTCACAGTTGAATTGCTTTTTAGTGACAGAATTAAAAATTATGGTTTTTTGGCATTAAAAGCAATTTATACAATATAAGGAAAAAAAACGCTGAATAAATAAAGAATCTACTCCAAGAATTTACGACAGAGCAAAATATGAAGTGAGTGACATTTTACGGCAGTTTCCATCAGAGAATTTTATCGACCTGTGATGTGCATTCCTCCACCAATCACATCGGAGGTTTGAATGGAGCATACCGGAGTCAGCCAAGGATTGCCACTTGTCCCTTAACTTATCATGTTTAGCTTTGATGAATGCATCTTAATTTTGGTGATCATGGTCTTGTTCATTATGAAGAGATTTTAAAATCATTTTTCTCATTTATAAATTAGTGTAGGCCAACCCTACAATATGATTGTGAACAATTTAGAATCTGCTCTTTATATCTGAGGAAGATTTCATACTGAAGTTAATTATTTCTGGTCCACACTGGTTCTTGAGATTTTAAAATGTCACCACACAATTTTTCCTTATACAGTTGAACTTTGGGACATGCATCTCAAACATAGATACCTTGAATACCATAGATATTATACCTTGAATACCATAGATATTATACCTTGAATACCATAGATATTATACCTTGAATACCATAGATATTATACCTTGAATACCATAGATATTATACCTTGAATACCATAGATATTATACCTTGAATACCATAGATATTATACCTTGAATACCATAGATATTATACCTTGAATACCATAGATATTATACCTTGAATACCATAAATATTATACCTTGAATACCATAGATATTATACCTTGAATACCATAGATATTATACCTTGAATACCATAGATATTATACCTTGAATACCATAGATATTATACCTTGAATACCATAGATATTATACCTTGAATACCATAGATATTATACCTTGAATACCATAGATATTATACCTTGAATACCATAGATATTATACCTTGAATACCATAGATATTATACCTTGAATACCATAAATATTATACCTTGAATACCATAGATATTATACCTTGAATACCATAAATATTATACCTTGAATACCATAGATATTATACCTTGAATACCATAGATATTATACCTTGAATACCATAGATATTATACCTTGAATACCTATTATACCTTGAATACCATAGATATTATACCTTGAATACCATTATTATACCTTGAATACCATAGATATTATACCTTGAAACCATGTGAAATTTATACAATACCAGACAATTGACCTTGAATACCATGTATTATACCTTGATACCATAGATAATACCTTGAATCTCCATAGATATTATACCTTGAATACCATATATTATACCTTGAATACCATAGATATTATACCTTGAATACCATAGATATTATACCTTGAATACCATAAATATTATACCTTGAATACTACCATCCACTACCATAGATATTATATGTCCATGTATGTGTACTGACCAGACCACATATGTTTTAATATCAATAAAATTAAAACATACTGTAATTATCTTCAAATTTGAAAATCATTAAATAACTTTACAAATGCATTTACCCAAGATATTCATTATTTGAAAATGTGAAATTTTACAAAAAACAATTGATGGATGCTGTGTTCTCCCTGATATAGACAAAAGTCTCCAGGAGGAAGATCAATCATTAGCTGGAATTGGGAATTGAACCTTATTTGAAAAAGTTTCTTTATGTGTATAAAATATCAATAAAATTAAAACATACATTTTAAAAAACTTTACAAAATTAAAGATATTCATTATTTGATTTAAATATTGCAAAATCCAATAAGATTGATTTTTATCATTTGAAAAAGTTTCTTAACCATAAAAAATGAATCCATGCATTTCCAAAATTACAAGACATTACATAAATATTGCATGTAGTTGAGTGTAACATTTAAAATTAAAATGTTAAACTCAGGTACATGCAATATTTATTATATTATACTGAATATTTTATACAAATACATATAACAGTGAACTGTGCCTGCATGAATTCTGCACAGTCGTTATTTTTTGGAATACCACCCGTCGTCATGCAATGTTGACTGTTGCTACGCTGGAGGGCATGGCTTTATTATTCAGCGGGTAATAGTGTTTTTTAACAAATGTTGCTCGACCAATCAAATTCAACTAATTTACATGAAAGTTAATATTCCCAAACAAATACATTACAACAGCAATGCCTGGAAAAATAATAATTAAAAACAATACATTGAAAAATAATTTATTAAATACTAACATTCTAAATTCACATGACTTGAAGAAAATGATTTAAAGCTGACATGTATTAAAAAAATTGTATGGTCTAATTATGAATTAATAATGATGATATTAATTAATAAAAAATAATAAATGCTACAGAATAGCTCATGAATACCAGCTCAACAGTGAACAATTAGAAATTTTCACAGTCAAAGGGCAATAACTCTCTTGAAAACTGATTAATAAAAAATTTAAAAACCTCAGGAGATAAGGTACAAACTTAGCATAAATTTGCACTTTTTCATTCAAAAGTTTCATAATAATGTCATAATATAAAGTGATAAATAGTAAATATTTAGAAGGAAGGAGGCAAAAAAGGTAAAATTCTGAACAATTCAAAAAAGTAAATAATTTACAACCTCTAGATAATCATTTTAGCAATTCAATATTTTATATCATACACAAAGAAAATAAAATAAATTATATCTATCCATATATTCATTTGTTTGGAGCACCAGTCCTTAACTTTAATCTAATAACTGCCATCAATATCAAGAAACATTAATTTGAAACATAACCCTACATATACACTCTGTCTCGTACATTGTCTGCATGTACTAGGTCAACAAAGTAAAAAAAAAAATTGGCAAAGGTGTAAGGGCAATAACTCTCTTGAATAACTGG